GTCTCACCTAAAAAATCCACTGCGCAGGCTCGAAGGGTTAATGACCTTTCCCAAATCTTCGCTCGCAAAGACTGGCTATTATTTTAAATTAACAAACTGTTGTTAATCTGTACAGGAGTGCGGGGAGTATCAGGCGCTAAAGTTGTGCTGAGAACTTGATAGGGGAAGATGAGACATTTTACTCTCTGAAAACGTCAGTTCACAAGCTGAAGAACTATCATGGAAAAACGGCTTTTGAAGAGGAAAATGAGACAGATCATGTTATCATCTGCTGGCTCAGGAGAAGAAAGGAAATAAGTAGAGTGTACGCAGCAGAGATCTTTGAGAACTGAATGTTGAGGAGCAAGTATTTTGTGACTGTCAGTAATGGGAGTAAGGCAGGGAAAATTGAAGAAGTTTTCTCAATTAAATCAGCAGAGGAAAAATGAGTGCTGGGTAGATAATTCTAATTCATACTGGGTTCTTTAGGGCATCATTGTAGTGTTTTTACCTTCTAGTAATGCAAAAGGGAATGTGAGCAAGAGTGTCCAAGCAATGTATCCTCAGTGTAGGTGAACTGCTACTGCATTCAAGAAACAAAGAACAGAAACACATCCAGGGACACTACCTTTGCTTCCCTATTACCTACATCATGCCAGACTGCAGATCACCTGTGCTTTCAATCCCCAACTGCCAGTGCAATTTTCCTGTCATTTCTACTGTCTAATTAAGCCAGTAGGCTGCAGAAGCTCATTAACCTTGCATTGTTTTCCCAAACGGAAATAAAAGCAGTTTGCTTGCTGTTTTCTTTTTCCACCCATATCTGTCTACCTATATTTAGATTTCAGATTTAGAACTGAGTTGTAACCACTCCTGAAGCGCTGATTCTGTGTTGGCAGAAGCTAAGGTACTTAATAATGCTGGTGGTTGATTCTCGGAGGCCAGCTGGATTACTTGGCTGGGCACGGACTCTGCTCATGCAGAATCATCAGGGTTTAAATCATTAGAATCAGTGGAGTTACTTGACTTCAGAAATGCCTGGAGAAAAAAAAAAATGAGTTCTTTGGGGAGTTGTTCCGACCCTGTTCAACTGCACACAGCTAGATTAACTATCAGAGTCAGGTGTCCAATCCCCCACAGCAAAGCTCACTTTCTAGAGCCCACATTAAATGTACAAGGAAACCAAATCTGCAAATCCCAGCAACTAAATTCAGTGCCAGAGATGGCACCACAAGAAAAGTCCGGTTATGTTGAATCACCTTACTTCACCCCACAAATATAGCATTATTGCCATACACCTAAACTCTGTATTAAACCAAAGGCAGTATTCACTTAAAAAAATCACATTTTGATATGTACTATAGGAAATGTAGGATAACTCTGCTTAAATCAGTGGAATGGAATTGAACAGATTTATAGCCTGTTAAAATCTACTCCTAAATGTAAGTAGAACTAATCTATCCACATGGGAGTTGCTAGGAGTATGCCAGACAGCTAGATTTATAGAAACAAAGATGGATATTGAAGCAGGTGAATAATGCTTTAACTTCTGATGCAAAAAAACTTTAAAAAATGGATGTATTGTTACAGGAGGACTATTAGTACGTTTTATACCTAAGCCTCTCTTACTTAAAAAGTTCAGGGTTTAATTTTAAAGTCTAGTGACCCCTGCCTTCATAGAGCAGAAATTCCTCAGGTTGTGATTTGTCTCTCAATGCGTACGTACAGCCCCAGGCGGACAGAGATCCAAAGCATTAACTCAAACTTCTGAACATTATTGTACTTCAAATAACAAACGTTTCAAAACAGAGTGTCACTTTTAAACTGCTTTAGTGCAGATGGTCTTTTTCTTAATTCCCAGCCTTGTTGTTAGTGAGCTGAGCTTATTGAACTGCTTGCCAATTCTGTTAAGAGCAGATGGAGTGAAACAGGATAAAGGCAATATTTCAGTGCAGCTCCCAAGCACTGCCCCCCCCCAGATGCCATTATCGACATGCATTTTAGAGCTCCACATCTCTCCTCATCAGCAGTCAGAATTATAAAGAGGTTAAGCATACTTGCCTTGAATGTCAGTAAGCAATAAGGATGCTCATTTGGCTTAATAAGGATAAATTGTTGCCCTTGAAACAACATACCGTTCCAGCAGTCAAAGTAAACTAAAGTGACTTCCTTGATGTTTATGCTAACTCTGAGTGTCTGTGTCAGTGTGTGTGTGTGCTGAGGTATGTATGTTGTTTTGTTGTTCTCTGGCTGTTCCCTAGCACTATGGATTCCTCTTGTGTGTGTCCCATAATAATGTCTTAAATTAATTATTTTGAGTGTTCCCCTTTAAAAGCTCATTTCTTCTACTTCAGGCTTTTCTTTTAAAGACTTTCATTACAAACTCTCGCTTTCTAAAAAGCTCCCAGTTTCCCCTTATAAAGCCCGCTGACAGAGCATGGTAGGTGATGTTTTCAGAAGTTCCTTCTGTGTGTGGACCATTGTTGCCTCTAAAGCCTGTGATTAAATTCAGTCTGGCTTTAGTGAGAGCAGATAGACCTCAGTGCAACAGAAGTAAATTAATTGTGAGTACTCAAAGAAATAGTAATACTACTCCTATGGGAAGCAGCTCTTATTTTTAAAGAAAGCATGAATGTTCTGATCATACAGAGATATGTAATACATAAGCATGGCTAACATAATGATAAATGGTTCCCTGGAGACTTAATTTTTGATAAACAAAACAGGACATCTAGTCAAATCTTATTCTTTCTCGCAGCGTGTTAATACCAACAGTCCTTCCTTATTACCAACAATTCTTGTCTGTTATTATCGGGAGTCCTTGTTTTGGCTCCATAGCCATCCAGCTATCAGTGTTTGAGACATACCACTTTAGCCCCCACTTTGTTGTTTATAGGGTCACAAGAGAGTTGGCTTTAATCATAATAATTTTCCCTCCTGGCTGTAATGAGTTGGCATCTTTCTTTAAGGTTCAACAACAAAAATATTATTCCACTTGGGTTGTTATTCAGGCAAGAAAAGCAAGTTTCCAAGGCTGTTCATTAGAAAACAGGTGCTCATTAGGTAGCACTAGTTCTTGGGAGCAGACGGAGTTTCCGATAAGCTCCAAACGGGCTTAGTCCAAGTGCTGTTTGTCAGGGCTGAGGCCTAATGAGCATTTCTCAGTGTCCAGAGTATAGTGTGGCCTGGGGAGGGGTGGGGGTGGGGGGGTCCCATGGCTAAAATCAGCTTCTCTGGGCCTCTGTGAGCACAAGAATGACCTTTTTCTTGTTTAGGAGCTGGGTCTATGTCAGTTCACCTCGAGTAAGTGTGGCCTCACTGTGGAAGTGCAATGACCCAAAGCCACATTGCTGCATAGCACTTTCTGTGAGCTGGGACTAGTCACCTGTGTTTTAATGTTTTGCTCGTGTAATTTTTAACCTTCTGTTTCTCTCTCTTTCCTGGCAGATTTTTATTGGTGAGATATCCATGTATTTCATAAAGTCAACCCGAGAAACTCTAATTATTCAAGAGAAAACTATTTTGACTGGAGAATGCTGTTACCTGAACCCACTGCTTCGAAGAATAATACGTTTTATAGGTAAGAGTCCTGATCACTGCAAGTTTAGTCCCTGCTTGCACCAAAACAGAACGAAACACACTGATAAATACATAAATACATATTAAGTACCTCACAAAATTAATTAAGCTGTGAAATCTTTGCAGGCATCTTCCACCTTAGAGGGATAGTCCCCTCAGGATTTCCAAGGTAATGTTCAAAATTTGCCATATCACGCTGTCTGGAGCTGGTTCATATCGTATTCTGCTGAGCTTAATGCTTTTTCTAGACCCTTGAAGAAAGGTTATATCAATCAAATCCTTATATAAATAATCCCATCATTGCTAGTCTGTGTAAGCTACCCATTTTACTTACAAATTGGCCTTCACCAGCTCATCTATTTGGCATTTTTCTTTTCAGCTCTAATTTTAACATCCATAGCCCTGCCACATAATGTTCAGCTGAGCAGGGCAAAAAAGCTCAGAGCTCACTTCAAAACAATGTTATTATTTTCATTGTATTTGCTTCTTTTTAGAGCTTTCATGGAGTTAATTGCTGAGAAATGAAGTTCTGTCACTAAACCATTTGGAGATTGCTTTATATGGTGCTTGAAAACCGCTTTACCTTCTTCATACTGTTGATCAGCAGTCTCAAGTTCATGCATGGAACTGACAGTCTTACCCTGCATTAGGGTTTTCATCATCAGCAAATATATGTTTCAAAGGAGGAAGAACAATGGTTTTTCTTCTCCCTCCCCTACCTTTGTGCCTCCTGCTTTATACATGGAAGGTAGGGAGGGAAATGTCCCTTCTGCCAACATTAGGGTGGAAGCAAACCACCTATGGTTTGTTAGTCAGGCCTGGATTGTGTGTTGGTGATGGAAACAAAAGACACAGGAATGCAGTTTAAAGTAAAATAGCCTTGAACTTCACATAACCTCTAGGATGTATTGACGGACAGTGAACTGCTGTTAAGAGAGAAGCAGGCTACCAGAGTCCACTGGGCTATTCAGGGCTGTTTTACTGTTCCAGCACATTTGGCATGTTGTAAAGCTCCAATCAAACACTCTTGCCTGTGGGTTCAGCACTAAAAATATTTAGATCATGGAGGCTAAGCACTTGCTTGGTATGTTTCCTTATTCTTAAACATTCATGATATTGTTTCTCTTCCAGTGGAAGAGAAAAGGAGTAGCAATGGCACAGTGGACTCTGAGAGTTGTAGGATATGAACCATGCTAGAAAAATCAATCTTGGCCTTGCAGCTATGTTTGTTTTCCTGAGAAAAATTAAGTTAATATTATTAGAAATTACTTAGTCTTTGTCCTGTCTTAAATTACACTGAATTTTTGCTTGTTTTCTTCTGAAACCTTCTCCCTGCCTCTGCAGTGAAATGAGAGAAGTAGAAATTGTTGAAAAGTGGATGAAATAATTTATGAAAGGAGCTAAAATAACTGCATGCTTTTCATTTTGCATTTCACCTGCATTTTGAAAACATGGCATGGACTGAGCCGCTGTACCCTGTGCTGGATGATCCAGGGAAGTTAGCTTCTTACAGCTGCTTACTCCAAAAAGAGGCTTCCGGGGTGCTTGGCTCTACAGAGATGACCAGGTTGCTTATACATGGATTTCTCTGTGTGTGTCTTCTCTTGCTAAACTTGAGGGCCAGAAGTTACAGAGCTGATTAAGTAGGCTGTCTTCCAAGATACCTTAGCAAGCAGGGTGGCTTGTTGCAAAGAATTTTGCTGCCAGTTTAGTTTTGGTACTAATTCATTGAAATTCATCCATATCTGGTGATTTCTTTTGCCCAGATGTTTGAGCAAGTCTTGCTGAGCACCTGCAAAAAGTAGCAATTTAACTGCTTGGAATATTGCCGTAGAAGTCATTACAGTTGATATTACTGAAAAGGATGAGAAAAATCCTTCAATTTGTCTAGGTGCTTATGTGTCAGAAAAAATGAACAGTACTGTCTGACCCTACAAGGCACATCATGGACAACTTTTGAAAGTTGCTGTTCCCAAATTTTAGAAAGGCAAAGAGGCTTTTTCTCCCTCTATAACTTGGTAACTGGAGTTGCTGGGAAGAGATGGGGTTTCAAGAATAGTAGGCTAAATTTGCTTTCCACAAAACAAGCAGGAAGTTGTAGATACTTCCCTGAACATTCATTTAGATTTTATAAGGAAAGAGAAAGAAGAAGGGAAACTCCAAACTGTCTTTTGGTCCTGTGAAAGACAAGGACCCTTGTCATACTATCTCCATGGGATCTTTTGGATTTGGTTGCTAGACTTGAGCTTTTCTCCTCTTGTCTTTTCTTCATGTGTACAGAATTAAGCACTTTTTTACACTTTGCTAGTGGAGCAAAACAAAAACCCTGCAACTCTTCTGGAATGTTATCAAAGCCCCATGTTTCTTTTTTGTGTTTTTATCCCTATCTTGCTTACTATGCTCTCTGTTCCTTCTCTCCTTGTTTTCCTCAAGGCCTCTGCAGATGTCCATTTCGAACTGCCTCCCCTCCTGAGTTTAGTGGGGACCTTGAATGTTGAGCTTTGTATTAAATCCCTCTCTTGTTCTTTGTCCATGTGAAGCAGAAGCACAGTTTCATCTTGCTTCCTGGCCCAGGCATGAATTCTGCATGTATACTTTTGTGGGAAAGGGCTGCCTCTCACCTTGCCGCGGTGTTTGTCAAATCCTGTACTGCAGCCTAAATTGGTAAAACCTGCTGTGTTCCCTGTATTTAGAAAATCAATTTCTTTATCACTGAAAAAAAACTGGCTTAGCTTGGAAACATCAGGCTTTGATGTATGTTGCAATTTGTTCCATCTTCGTCTTTATCTTTTACAGCTGCTTCCACAGACAATTTTTTTAAAAGATTTTCAGGTCAAACAAATGGTGTGCAATTGCTTTGGAGCATTTTTTTCTGAGATATTGGTGCTGCACTGCTTCTCTTTAGTCACATCATTTCTCCTCCCTCCTCTCCCCACCCCTTGGGGCACTTTTATCATCAGTTTTTGCTGCCAAAACTCGCTGTTCATGCGTGGAACCTTTGAGAAACTAGAGTGCCTGTTTCTTGGGCCTCTGCCTCTTCTACCTCTCCCGTCTTGAGCATTTTGTAATTTTATTCATTCTATCTTCCTGTACTTTTCCATTCAGTACTTTGTTAACATCATGCCATCTTGCATTTGCTTCCATGTTCTTCTTCATAGTTTGTATTACAAATGAAAGTTACAAAATATTTTAGCATTATTTAGTGAGTGGTTTCAGTCAAGTTTTTAGTCTGTTTATGTACAGCTGCTATCATACCCCCAGGATCAGAGATTCAGACCTCCCTGACTCACTGTGGCAGGGTGACTATAGTACATATTGTTGCATTTCGTTATATTAGGTTTGTAATCCACATGATTAAGTAGTCTACCTGCAAAGCCCTGATAACATGCAAGTAGCCTCTCTGTAGCTCAGATATGTAGAAATGCAATGTGCTTCATCAGTTTGTTACCAGAGGCTTTTACTTTGGATGTGCATAATTTGCAGTTAACAAATGGTGCAGATCAGCTTCTGTTGACAACTTAATCTAAAGCATGGTGACATCTCACAGTGGGCAGCTAAATAATGAAATTAGGGCTTTATTTCAGTAAATTAAGGCTTAATAGAGGTTTACAAGACTTATACATACATTGAGTTTATTGTATGAGGACAGATAAACTGATGCTCTGAATTGACAGAGCTCTGATGTCGATTCCTTGAGCAGCTGCAGGACCCAGCTTGCCTGACCTTATCCTTCTGTCTGGCTTGGATCTGAGGTTCGCCGTGAAACCATGCATATTCTGTTATTATCTGGCTGCTTTTCTGCAGGACTCAAGCTGTATTTGGGTTTGTTGCCCCTAACCTAAACTGCTCAACAGCTCGAACTCCTGGAGGTCTCTTTTCTTATCACTGAAGAACATCCACAATGAGAAACAGTATCACTTTGCTGGGGACAGATCAACCCTTGGTGTTCCCTTTTATGCCAGACTCTGAGTTGGCAGGTGTCTAGTTGAAAACTGGTAGTTGTGAAAGCAGTGAGGAAGGAAGATATCCTGTACATCTCTCAGGAGAAGTCTTGAGGCTCCAAAGTTTTTTGCACTGAGAACTGAATTTCTGCTGATGTGCTAAGACCATGTGTCTTCCTTTTTATATCTGGAGGGAACAGTGCCCAGGCAGGACACTCACAGGTGAAGCAGGCAGACCCAAGAGGCAGTAGAAGCCTGGAGCTTTGTGAGGTCTTCACTAGGAGATCAAAGCCAATCCCATGACTGGGTGATGAGAGCTCAGAAGGTTGATGTTGAGCCTGTTCCTGGTGTCATGGCAACAGGACAATAAATTGCCCTGCAACTCCCATCTCTGCAGTTGTAAAATGGATTAATGATACAAGTCTCCTTTAACAACACCCTTTAAGATATAATGATGAGTGGTGGTTTAGCAGAGTCTTAATCATGGGACTATAAATGTATGGCTTTATTGGATGCACAGGATTCTCAGAGCAAAATGTTCAGACATGGGCTGAGAATCAGCATTCCCATAGAGCCCTGAGTCCTTCCAGGGACACTTCCCACTGAAACTCTAATCTGCTTTAAAAAACATAGGGATAGAAAAGGAATTAGGGGAGTATGAGTGTGCATGTGTAATATGAATATTTTCTAAGATAATTAGGTTGAGAATTACAAATTCAGGTAATTGACTGGGCACTGGGAGAGAGGAGTGCCTAAATAAATATCTTTGTTTGGAGACATGATGATAGGTTAACGAAGAGCTCAGCTTCTGATGTCTCATGAGCCCTTCAATGCATTGTTTCTTTCGTCACTTTACTTATGGGTTTTGTGGATTTTCTATTATAGGGCCTTCTACCTCCTGGTTCTCATTTCCACCCACTGGCTTCTTACTTGTCTTTTCCCTGTGTCATTTCAGCTACTCTTCTGCAAGTTCCAAGGGGTTTTGCTGATGATTTTTTGTAGTTGTTGTGGTGGTAGTGAAGGATTTTTTTTCCAAATCAGTGGCATTTTAAATGCTTCTAATAGCAAGAGTTTCCATGGAGTCAACTAGCAGCTGCAGTGACTGATATTAGATAATTCAAGGTAGAAGAAGAGAGCCTGAGCATGAATTGCAGGGAGGAGACAGGGTTGTACTGAATGTGCGAGAAGAGTTGTATTCTTCTTCAGGGCAAGTGCCTCTGTTGGCAAAAGCAATAGAGTTAGAGGTGGCAACACGGATGAACAACCACACAAAGAGTTTGATAGGAGATAGAACATAAGAGTAGAATATGGGTGAGAGTCCAGAAATCATGGGTTCATGGAGGACAGTCATTTAGGAGGATGCGTAAGTAGAGAAATTAAAAATTAAGCATTCAAAATTGAAGCTGCCAGATACTCAGATTCTTTTGCCAAGGCAAGTGTTAGTTCAGATGAGAGGGATCTGGAAAGTCAAGCTTCATGTTTTCCGTCCTTGGCATTTTTCAACAGGCTTCTCCTTGTTTCTTTTTCTTTTGATTTGCACATTTAGTTTGTCTAAGGTCTTTGTCACTGAAGGCAAAGACATGTTCAAATCTGATCCTCAGTTCCTTCTTCTTGGACTCTGGAGCAGGGAGTATAGCCTACCCCTCTATCTCTGGCCTAAACTAGTATCTCTCCCAGTTACATTCTGCTTACTGTTTTGTCTTCTAGTGTCCTCCTCCTGACTGCTCCTGAGATGCACAAACACAGGTGAGGGTCATGTCCTGACAAAAAAACCAGGAAGCCCTTCCAAACATAGCTTCTACTCCTTCTTTAAGGCCTCTTTTTGCAGCCAGACAATGTGACACATGTGGCTGAGGGCAAAGAGTGGCTTTATGTAAATGCAATTAACCTCCATCCCTTCTGCTAGTAAGCAGCTCTAGGTCTGCTTCCCATGTGGCTTGCACTGTTCCCATCTTTTCTCAGCATATGCTAAGTTCTGCACTGAAGTTCATTCCCAGGTTTTCTGGCCCAGAGCGAGCTTAGTGAGATAAATCTCTTGCTCCTGATCAGGATGACACCACCTCCTATTACAGCTGAGTGTCAAAGTCTGGAAGAGGTACATATTGTCCCATTCTCTCTCTCTGGCATTATATCAAGGACTTCAGCTGACCCTGAAGAGCCAGGGCCGGTTGCCTTCCCTGTGAAGCCTTTCAGCAGCAATTTGTCTGCCTCTAAAAACCTGGCACTCACATCACTGTGTTTTTTGTGCTCTAGTCAGTTAGCTGAGCTGCTGCAGGTCATTGAACAAATCCATTGAACAGATGGATTCCTGAGATACAAAAAACATCGGGGGACTGTCTGCCCCTGCCCAGGCTTGCTGGTGTTACAGCCTTTAAATCAATTACAGCCAACCCTACCTCCAAGTCTCTAGAGATGATGTGGAGTGTAATCCACCCTGCAAGGGTGACATTCATTGGTGGACGTGGCTTGTGGTTCTCATGAAGCACAGTCTGGCAGACCTGCGAGAGAGGAGTTACAGTAATCAATATGCACCACACTCAGAACACGATAAAGGTTTCAGCTGTGGCATGCTCTGCTCTTCTGTGGACTGCTGCAGGCCTCAGCAGCTGACTTGTTGAGTTCTGTGCTACCAAATACTGAGGAAATGCAGGTGTTGAAACTTTTTTTTTTAACGGAGCAAAACACTGGACCACCTTTGTACCTGTACACTGCCTAGGGATTTAGATAATTTTGTGAAGCCTGTGAGCTTTTTCTGAAACACCTTGTTTCTTGGCTTGTACTCACTTGATAAATACCGTGGCCAGACTGCGTGGCAGGTAAATTTCCTCTAACTATTGTAAAAGGCATTCCTTCTAATTTGCATGGCACATCAGAAAGATGCCATTTAAGGCAAGCTGTGCCAAAAAAAAAAAAAAAATTAACAAAGAGCTGTATATAGAACAAGATTTATCTTTGTCATAACTTCAGCTGTTTCTCCAGGCTGAAAAGATACCCTACTACCTTTTTCCTTTGTACTTGATTGTGTACTGACTAATGTAGATGAGAAATTCCTGCCAGCTGTGGAAAACCGTGGATTTAAAATATTAACACAGGGATAAAGGAAATAAAGGAGCAGTGTCAGTGCTCTCTCCTTTAAAACACAGACACTTAGCAGGATAAACAGGAGGAAAACTGTCACACCATTAAAAAGACAGGAGTCAGTCCTGCAGTCTAGAACCAGAGGAGGGCAGCCTCCTCCTTTGACCACCACTATTTTGAATCCATGATTACAAATCAGTTCGTTAATAATAAATAAATTCACGTAAAGAATACACTCAGCCCCCGAGAATCATCTTCACTGTGGTGATGCTCCATCCTAACCTTGGGGAAGGATGGTGAGGATGAACAGCTCCACAGTCCTGCAGCCCCCCCAGGCTGCTTCCCAAGGACAGGGCTCTTCCCATCATTATCTAGGGAGGGATCTATGTTACAGAGACACCACACCATCTCTCTGAATGACTGGCACAGGCAAGCCTCACTCTAACACTCACACAAATCCATTTTAGATAGTTTTAGTTTATGTTACTGCCTGTACACACTGCATTATCTTGCTGACTCTCTGATATTTTTTGTGTCTCAGACTATAGCTGTCCTATTTTCTTTTTCTAACTCAGTATATATAAGCAGTGAAGGTGTAGCAATCATGGTGGTGCCAGCTTTTAAGATTTCACCACAGCTCTCTAGGATGTTTTCCCTGGAGCTCCAGCTCTTGGTCATACTTAAATACATAGCAATCTCAACTAATTTATAATTTAAATTACTTTTGCTTACACAGTTACAGGAGGGAGAAAGCAAAAATACGTGACTCTCAATATTCCCACACCAGAAGCAATTATTTATTTTTTCTACGTTTTTGTGACACTTTAATTAACCTTAGCAATGAGAAGGAGAAAAGGAGAGCTGATTTAATCTTTCAGAACATTTGGGTTTGGTATTTCTGCAGATGTGCTGTTCTTTTCCTTTGGTATGTGGGCAGTACATGCATGTGAAAGATCCTCATATATGTTCATAGCAGCTGTAGCAGGTATTGATAATACTCATGGGGAGTCAGTGGAGGATGTGACAACTGCAGTATTGATCAAGGGATGCTCCACAGCCCTGGAAATACGTTCTAGTGAATGCTTCATGCTGTAGGATTTGTGGTCATGTGCTCTTGGTGACATGAGCTGAACTGCAACTGTCTGGAAATGTCTTCCAGAGCAAAGCAATGGGTTGCTTCCAAAAGGACATGCCAAATCTTGCTAGATCAGAATCTTAATTTTTCAACATCAAGACAATGAACAGTCAAAATTCAGGAGGTACTTGACACTCGATAGTTATGTTAGGTAAGTGCACTATTGTGTCTCAGTACTACACTGCTCTTTCAGGTTCAGAGATCTCATTTTTTGTCACAGATCTGGTATGAATACATGATATAACTCCTATTATGTCTCCCCCTCTCAGGTACCATGGTATTTTTTAAACTTGCTTGAATAATCACTGTTTTTAACTTTTCCTCACAGGAGTGTTTGCATTTGGACTTTTTGCCACTGACATCTTTGTAAACGCCGGCCAGGTTGTGACTGGGAACTTGGCTCCCTACTTCCTGACGGTGTGTAAACCCAACTACACTGGGAATGACTGCAGGGCACACCACCAGTTCATAAACAACGGCAATATCTGCACTGGGGATGTGGAGGTGATTGAAAAGGCAAGGAGATCCTTTCCATCCAAACATGCTGCTCTGAGCATCTACTCAGCTTTATACGCCACGGTGGGTGCCAGTGATGACTGCTGACTTCCGTGAGAGGTTTCTGTATGTGCATCTAGATGGGCACATTTTTCTTACAATGGATTTTTGGAGAAAAAGAGTGTTGCTTTGGGGGCTGCTTTCTTCTTTATCTGTAGGGGGAAACCGCCTTCTCTCTCTCATTTTACCAATCCTGGGGTAAGCAAATGAAGTGCTTATTGCTTTTGAGGCACTGCATATTCCAGAAGTATGAGGTCCTAAACTTGTCTTTACTGCTGGTTTTCTCATTCAAGATCTTCTTCTCCCTGGCCCTCTCTGATGAGAATTAAAATGAAGTTGATCCTTAAACAGCTTCTGGATTGCTACTTTTGCTCCCGTGCTTGTTGAACATTTAATATCTAAATTGTGCCACTTCAATGGGAGGCTGAACTTAGGCTGAATTTTGCTGCCCTTGTTCATGACCTGAAGGTCCTAATGAAAGTTAGTGCCAGAATTTTGTTGTTATCACAGGGAATGCACCCCAGTTGACATATTGGCAAGGTGACACCGCTGTACTGTAAGGAAGGAAACTTATCTATCTTAAAAGGTCTCATGAGACAGATCGACTGCTCCTTTGTGTTCTCTGGTTAAAGTTTCTGTAATGCTGGAAAATCGATCCAAGAATCTTACTAACAAAGCAGAAAATCTTGTTGGTTTTGCCATTAAGATCGAAGGGCTTAACCTGGTTCTGATCTTAAAATGAATTAACCTAAGTCTTTTTCCCCTAATAGCCTGACCAAGTGGTGGCAGAGTCTGTCTGTAGGTCATCAGTATTTAAGAAAAGTGTTAAAATTACTAATGACAGGGTATTTACTGAATATTTTACCCTGTGCTGAGGGTAGCAGATGAATAAAACACCATATTATTACTGTAAGATGAAGAGTCCACCAGCTGCTGTTTCAATATCCATCTATTTGCACTGAATGTTCTGTGATTAATGATGGAGATATAAACTGCAACTCCTTTGATCAGGATTTGTTGGAAACTGTGTGGAAAGCCTGTAACATTTTGTGCACATTACTTCTGAACAATATGCAGTCATGTGTGAAATACAATAAAATCGACATGGTTGTAGCAGCTGTTTGCATCATGAGAGGTGAAAGTTCCAGGGTCAGGCTTGGTCCTGTTTCTATCCTAGGCTAATTACACCTTTCATGGACTTTCCTTGCATATCTTCCCATGTTTCCTAGGTAGGCAAGTCTTCTACAAGCAGGCTGACTTCTACAACGGAAGGGCAATGCTGCTTTTCCTTTCTGAGCTTAAGTCCCGGGTAGTTCAATGTTTCTGAGCTCTAGTCTTCCCTGAGTACCTGTGATGGGTCTGCATTTCTCCTCACATGGGAAGATGCCAAGTAGAGCCAGGACATGGAGCCATTTCTGAGCCACAAGGTCATGAAAGTCTGCCCTTAGGGCATTTCAGCCTACAGTCCAATTTCAGCCCAGTTCTCTGCCTCTAGAACTAAAGGTGTTATCACTTGTCTTTTCTCTGCCTGTCAGCTGGGAATAACATGAGCATTACACAAGAAATGCATTGTTCAGACCTAGCTTTGTTTAATAACTGTGCTATGCACAATTTTTGGAGAAGTCTCTTGCTGATTCTAATATGCATGATAATGTGGGCTGCTGAACATGAAACATGGGACATTTGCTTAGTAATAGGTGTATTTTGCATAAAGCTGAAGATTTGAGCCATGGTGCAAGAAAAATAAAACAGCTTGAACATGAGTAGGCAGGAGAATGGAATCAGCACGGACATTGTCTGTCATTGTATGAATGTCTGTTGAGATCTGGGAGTCTCCTGCCATCACCAAACCTCAAGTGTGCTCTGCAGATGTTTCTGTGCTCATTTGTTCATTACTCTGCTACTGAAAGCACTCTCACTGTGATTGGTTTGCCTTTGTGGGGTTTTGGTGTGTTTGGTTTTATTTTTTTAAATAATCTGGGGTTTATATTTAATCATTGAGGCCTTTTTCTTTGTCACCTGTTAAAGAGGCTGAGGAGAACGCAGAGCATCACTTCTGTGTTCTCTGCAGGCAGAGGTGGATCTTGTATGCCTAAAGTAGGGGAAAGAGAAAATGGCTGCCAGCCCTGACTTCCATACTTACAAAAAAAATTAAAATGGCATCTAATTAAAGTTTATCAGTCTCCCAGATTTATCTCAGGAAGACATGGCAACCTCTGTACATAGTCCACTCGTGCACTTAGAAACATGATTTTGAGTTTCTTTTCCAAGGGGGAGGTTTTCTTTTTTTTTTTCCAAGAAAAAGGTTTTTCTTTCCAAAAGAAAAGGGCTTTCTTTTTCTTTTCCAAGAAAAAGACTCTTGGTTCCAGCATCAGTTCAGCTGATGGGATGTCAGTCCTTGTTTCAGTGTCATTCCAGCTGCGTTGGTCTGGCCCGTGAGATGTTCAGGGCCCTGGGGGCACCACCCAGGCTTGGCATGATACCTTTTTATGGACAGGTTTCTGTGTAAATTAGTTATTGTGCACAGTCTGTTTGTTTAGGTCTTTCTGGGACAGAGAGCTTTGGGGGTCTCTGATGGTCTTAATCCCACCCTGTAGTCCATGCTCACTTCCTGCAACTCATTCCTGTGCTTGTGCTGTATTTGTTGTGGTTCTTCCTCATGGAAAAATGCTGCCCTATCTCTGACTGGCCCCCCTTCTCCAGCCATATATTGTTCTCACAGTGTCTTGATACCAACAATCCTTGGTTATTATCAAGAATTTTGTCTGTCATTACCAACAGTCCTGGGTTGGCTCCACAGCCATCCAGCTATCAGTGTTTGAGACATGGGCTGTTTTTCAGGCAAAAACCCCAAGTTTCTAAGGCTGTTTATTAAAAAACAGGTGCTCATTAGACAGCACAAGTTCTTGGGAACAGTGTTTCTGATAAGCTCAGAGGAGCTTAGTCCAAGTGCTGTTCCTCAAGGCTGAGGCCTAACCAGCATTTCTCAGTGAGGGGGCTTGTGGGGTGGAAGCTGTGCCAGCACAATCCATCCCATGACTAAAGTCAGCTTCTCTGGGCCTCTACACCTGAACATGAAACTTCGAACATTTGGGAAATGCTGAATAGTAGAGAACACCACAGCAAGTACCTTCAGCAGCCCAGGTCAGTTCAAGGCCTTGGCATTTTGAGCAGCTGCACTGAGTCAAAGCAGTTGTCAAACAGCAGTTGTCAAACAGCAGTTGTCAAAATCTCTGTGGTAAAAGAAAAGATTATAAAGCTTATAGGACAGGATTTTCCAGTATTGGTATGAAATCTTGAAGTTTCTAAGGAAAGTAAAACTATCACAAATCTTCCCACTTTTTGCTGCAAGGACAAGACAGACTTCTTCCACTTTGCATTTCTCATTATAGATATAACATATATTCTAAATATATGCATATATTTGCATATACACATAAGTATATATGGATGTCTATTTTAAACCTGTAAACAAAAAAGCCTCCTTGACTGTCCCTGCTTTTCTCTGTCTGAAAAAGATGGGAGAGGAATCACATGGGTTGAATGCTACTATCATACACTGAACATGGCTAAATACACTACTTGGGTGTATAAGAGCACAGCACCAATAAGAACACAGCAAAGAAGCTTAATAGATAATTTATATAGTTAAATAATGTGTAGTTTATTTTTTCATATTTTTTTATATTTACTTCACATCTTACTATATTCACTTCTTTACTCCTCTCTGTTTCTGACATTTAGAGTTTTGTAAATAAATAATTTTGCTTTATATTTAGTGTTGTGGGAAATTTTCAGAAATACCTGCTGTGTGAAGGAGACTTCCACTGAGATTTTGGTCTCTTGCAGAAAGTTTTGAAACCACGCTCTAAACGTGGGTAAACATACTGTGAGAATCCTAAAAAATATGTTGGCTGTAGGGAACCCAGACAATAAAAATCAAGCCTCATTGATTGGGAACTCTTACTGTAATGGAGAAGCTCTCCCAGTTATTTCTGAGCTCAGTGTGTGATTTAGGATGAACTGGAGCCTACCTCCTGGGAAAACAGTTTGTCTTGTTTAAAAGCCTCCTCATGAGGGTTTGGACAGATTTCCCTTGGCAATCTGTTCCCTTGGTTAATTACCCTCATTGCTAAAAATGTTCTCTTTAAGTGTACATTTTCTTGCTGAGATGCGTGAAACTTCAATACAGATACTTCCCATCTGTGACAAAGACAAGCCTGCCACATGGGTAACCCAAAGATCCAGCTTTATCTCATACCTGTAAGGAAACAAGTGTGTGTGGGTTGCTCTGTGTTAGCTGCTGTTCACAGCTGGCACAGCAGGACTGTTTTTACTTTAAAGAGGTGGGGGATTTTCCTTTGGATGCTGTAAACTGCAGTGGTGCTTTGGTGGGGAATAGGAAAGCAATTCAGCTCCCCGTTCCTCAGTTGGATTGACTTCTGCTAGAAGTGGACAAGGTGAAAGGGTGGGTGGTAATTATTTATGCAGTAGCAATGATTTTTGTTTTCCTGTTGTTTCCAAAGAACCTTAACGTGAGTTTTGGTGATACATGCAGCTCAAGTTGCCAGCCAAGGCTGGGGGACGGGTCCACCTAGTGCTCATTGTTAGCTGTCTTTCCAAGGCATATGCTGCACTCAGATTTAGATGTGAAAAACAAAGCAAGCAGGAAACTCTCAAATAGCTGAGTTTCATTCCCAATGCTATTACACAGCATAATGTTCTAGTTCATAAATCAAGTTGCCCTTTAACTTACGTACTTAATAGCACATTTAAGGGCAGAAGACCTCCCTTCCCCAGGCAGAGATCTGGCAAATTAAGCAGTTAGAAGTCCAGTACCACAGTTTCTGGGCAGGTGAAAGTATCCTTTTGACCCAGAGGGAGTCATATCTACCTTCCTCTGGTCAGTTTTTCTGTCCTGTCCCTTTCCCTTTCAAAAAGTGGTTTCTGCATCCCTTCTCTTCTTCTGGAGTTACGTATTGTCATGAGTTTAGGGCTAATATTTTTAGCAGCAGCCAGTGAAGGGAACCCAGATATAGGGATATTTGGTAGCCCAGTCAGGGAGAAGGGAAAGGAAATACAAACAAGGAGAAAGTTAAAGTACACACAATACAGCAGAATACAGGAATATGTGAAAGGCAATGAACCGAGTGAACTTGAGAATGGATATAATTTCTTTTTCTTGATCCCAAAACTATGTGCCAGACCATAATGACCTCTGTATAGCTGGCTCACCTAGAAAGGGACAGATATTAAAATACAGTAAAATAATTGCTCACGTTTGCCAAATAGATCATAGAGTGCGAAACAAGCTGTGCTGGTATTTGCATCTGGAAGCACCAAGCCAAGCCAGCCAGGGATCAGATTAGGAAACCTGAGCATGATACTGTTTAAGAAGCATTTTTCAAATGTATCTTCATGATTCTTTTTCATGTATGGGGAGCAGTGTGTCATCTGGAGACATTTTGGGCAAACGTATTTGATGTATTTGCTTTTATTATCAAAGCTTTGGAAATCATTCAGGCATCCATACTTGATTGCTGAAAAGGATTTTATTGAATTGTTTTGCCATCAGGCTTGGTTTGCTTTATCTTTGTTATTTTGTGGCTCTGGAATTAATGACTGGCTGCTAATTGTGACCCATGTGCTTTTGCTCTCTGTCAAAATGTGTTAGAAAATACACAAACTGCCAGAAACATGTGGGGTTAATTAAAAAATACTCAGAGAACAGTGAAACTTTGTGCTCCAGAAATACATTTTCAAAGTCAACTTTGTTTTGAAAGAAACCTTTCTCATATTGTGTGTTTCCTTTCATCTTTCAGAGAAAATGTCTGGAATGGTTTCTCACAGTGTTCTCTCTTTCTTAAATTTAACACCACTTAGGAGACTGGAGTAGCTAGTTGAAACAGATGCTATGCACTCAAATTTTCTGTACGTTAGAGTTTCTGCAGGAGTGTAAACATCAATTCCTGGCTCCCTTTGCAGACATTTAGTCATGCACATTCAGAGTGCCACCTTCTGAGCACAAACGGAGCCTAGAAGCTCAGGAGAAGTCCTGTATGTAAATACAGTGGGATATTTGACATCCTGAAACAACACCATTTAACAGTATCTGTTTTGTACTCTTAAAAGTGTTCTCTGAATTACCTGAAACCTCTTACTCCATTTCCCAGTGCTTTTTTTAATGAAACATGGATTTTGTCACATCCTTGCTGATTTAGGATTTTTCTGGGTGGGAAGGATGCATTTCTGGCAGAGCCCCTTTTTACTTTTGGTTTGCCCTTCCTTTCAGATGTACATCACAAGCACAATTAAAACAAAGAGCAGCAGGCTAGCCAAGCCTGTGCTGTGTTTGGGTACCCTGTGTGCTGCCTTCCTTACTGGGCTGAATCGAGTTTCTGAGTATCGGAACCACTGTTCGGACGTGATCGCAGGCTTCATCCTGGGCAGTGCTGTAGCCTTGTTTCTGGTAAGTCCAGCAGTTCCTTGTGAATTCCTTTTAAAAATACCACAGTATTAAAAACAATATTTAAAAAAATGCTATTTTCGTGTGGCCTGCAAGATCTAATTCTAGCCCCATCTAGTTAAACATATCATCAGAGAGAATTACAGTATGAAATCAGGAATACTAATTGATAAGGCTAGTATGGTGACATTTGTACATTTTATTTATTTTAATTCTTTTAATTCCTGTATGTGTTCTTACTTGACCTGTTCGGGAAAATTCTGTAAAGATGGTGTAGTTTTCAACTGATATCAAAAGGAATGTATGCTTGAGACTCCTCTAACACCCCCATGTTACAAAATCCTACTGTGTGTCTTGTATCTGGCAAAAATGTTAGATAAAGGGTGTTGTCTGCGGCTCTGAGCAGTGGTCCTGGTTTTCTGTTTTGTTTTGGACCATAAAGGAAGTGCAGTAGAAAGGAAGATTAGGATAAACTCCCTGGGAGACAATATTACCTCCCTTTGCATCATTTGGAGTTGAGCTGAAATTGTTTACCCCCTTATAGGATAACTAAATGTATTAAAATATATCAAAGGCCTTCCCACAGAATGTAGGAACAGCATCTTTCCAGACTTGAAGTGTACCTGGCTCTCCTGTGGGCTCTGTGGTTGAAGTGATTTGTTTGGTAGAGAGGTCTCTTGCTGAGGATTTACTCACACTGCCAGCAGTCCAGGTCATTCTTGTTAATACCAAGAAATGTGCCTGGTTCCATTTAATCAAAATATGCTTCAAAACTATCCACTGCACAGCAACAGACACTTTATCTCTGTAATCAGGAGGGATTAGGTTTCAATGATCCCTTAAATCTCAATTGTCCTGTCACTGATTCCTTTTTTCCTATTCTGTACTTAAAAAAGCAACAACAACAAACCTCCACATGTCAATTGTTTCCATGTTCCCTTTAAATAAAAAGATATCTACAACCTCTGACCTGAATTTCCTTGGCTTTAATGTAAATTATTTGTCTGGTTCCCATTGGGAAGAGCAGTTTAAATCTCGCCTATGCAATGTGAGTCTGTCGTCCCAGTGCTGCTGCAAGTATGAAGGAGTGATGCTAAATTATGTTATCCAGATGTGAGGGAGTTGCAGCCAATCACTGAACTATTTTCACAGCTTGGAACTGATAAAGTCACAGTCTGAAGGGAGTATTTGGCCAGTAAAGTGCATCATTCAGGTAGTCTGTGGTTCTGGGATGATAAAGCATACATGGGAATCTCTGCTGTGTGAAATGTAAAATGTATAAAGACTGAGAACGGTTCATCACCTCAATTTAACACACTTCCCAAAGCAGTCCATCCCACTCAGCTGCACTGTAGCCCAAGGCTGAGACAGGTGACGCCTTGAACCAAAACACAGGTTAAATTCTTTTCAGAAACTGGCAGTTGTGACCCCAGTGTTAACTCCTCTGAGTTTTCCTGGGGACAGAACACACCAACCTCACTTGCTTTTTCTGCATTACACAGGGGATATGTGTTGTCCATAACTTTAAGGGCACTCACGGAGCTCCTTCTAAACCGAAGCCTGAAGATCCACGGGGAATGCCACTAATGGCTTTTCCGAGAGTGGAAAGTCCTCTGGAGACACTGAGTGCACAGGTACTGTAAATCCTCTCACCCAGACCCATCACCGACCACATTTTCTGTTACAGGAGAGTAAAACCAAGTTGTATACCTAACCATACATTCCTAACATTGATCCCATTGAACAAAGTGAATCTGAATCAAGGCAGAGTTTGTTTTAAGGCATTTATTCCCGAACTACCAAATATTGTAGATCTTTTGCCCCTGTGCACATCCACTGCTGAAAAAGTAGGATTTCACATGCCTCTGCATGTGGTTTGTGATAAAAAAGCTTTCGCTTAGAATAGAAAACTGAGAGAAAAGCAAAAATAATTCTGTGTAACTACATTCCAAAATACTTCGGGGATGTCTGAAATATTTAATCTTTCCTGAGAATAAACTGCTGTCCAGAAATGTATTTATAGAGATTAGGTTTTTTATCCTTATTACTGTTCAGTATCTTCTATAATGATAAAAATCTCATACAGTTTTCTATCTCTAAGTCCTCAGAAGAGAAGTAATAGCATTCTTTCAAGTCTGCAAAAAAAATAGCAAGCGAGAGCATCATTATTGATGGTGTTTCTGTTAAAACTACTAACTTAAAATGGCTTGTGTTGGCATAACTGAATCATACCCAGCCCTTTCAAAACAGACAAGCAAATGCCACCTGCAAAACAGGTTCTGGGAATGAGGAGAAACTGTAGTTTATCAGTTATTTTAAATGCCCTGATGTCATTTATTTGTTCTTTAAATTGTACTTAGATGGCCTGTCATTCCTCTGCACATGGCATGTAGCAAGATCAATAGCGACTTCTGTTAAACTCGTTGCCAAATAAACTGAAAAGAGGAATTTTTAAAAAAATGGAAAAGACAGTTTTCTAATGCCTGGAAATATTTTGCTTAATTGAAAAGTCAATTTTGATTAGGCAAAGATTTACTGGAAGACTTTCCACTAAATCTGCAGAACCTTGTGCATTAAATGTTCTCTTGGTGGGTTTGCAGTTCAGAAACTAAGCACTGCTTAGATGTCCACATTATGTCATGTATGACAAAAAGGCTGAGCAGGGGAAAATACAGACTATGAGAAAAATTTAGTCAAGTCAGCTATTTATAGCTGCTGAGCTGTGAAGTGCAGGTAGCGACTGGACCTTAACTGTTGATGTCTACTATAATTCAACAACATAATTTTCAGGGTAGCAGTCTCTACATGACCATACATCTACAATGTAGGAGTAGATTGGGGAAAATGTGATCCTATTCTGAAGATAGTATAAACAGGTGTTTGGGAGCACATGCTCCTTACTGTTTCTTCAGGTATAGGAGGTACACCATCCTTCTCTGTGCAGATTTCTGCATCTATCCCCAGTCTCGTTTGGCCTTGCACCCACACAAACCCTGCAGAGGCAGCATGATACAAGGATGACTTAGTACGGCCACGAGTCCTGGACATTGGCTCCCAGGGAGGTTAAATCTACACTGCCACCTACAGAGGACTTCTTGTTGCTGCATGTCTGTGGCTGCATGTGTTTTGGCATATTGACCCACCTCCATACGGTTTTAAGTTCTTTATGTTCCTTAGGATCAAAGTGTGCAGAATCCGTGTGCACCCATCAGATGAAGCCAAACCACAGTCTTCTAGTCTCTCCTGAGGACAGACCCACTGTATTGGTTATGTGACTGTATGAAGCACTTAAGCCTCTGCAGACCTGTCCCTCTGGACAGGACCCAGTCCCATTTGAAAGTCCATGTTGGAAAAGTCCCACCTTGGTTTTCCAGCCTGTAAGTGAGTGTTAATAACAGCAGGGCTGGAGTTCAGCGATTCCCACCACACACTCAGGACAGGCAGCAGTCACTTTTGCAGTCTTAAAGCCCTGGGTTAGCTGAGCAACAGGTTTTATTAGAGAAGGGTTTTCTCATTCATTTTGCACACCAAAATATGTAAATGCCAAACTGTTTACAAATGTTCATGTGTCTGCCTTTTCCTCTTTGCAGAACCACTCTGCCTCTATGACTGAAGTAACCTGAGATGGAAGATTGGCAGCCGGAGCTATTTTTTACTACCCTCCAGTACAATAGTCCAAGACACACAGTTACTAAATGTGTAACTGTGATGACCAGTATTATGTTATGTCTAGTTAGAGGCTAATGTTTTGTACTTTTTTTGTATGAGGAAGTGATGTAGCTTGCCCTGATTTTTTTGTCAGCTTTAATATTATTATGCCAGACTTTAAAAGCAAAACGAAAAAAGAACAAAAAAAAACTTTTCTTGTTTAAAGTGTGCACTGAGGAACTACATCTATGGAATTGTTGATGTTGTTATGTGATATTTGTACACGTTTTTTTTCTTTTAAGTTTTTAATTTATATATCTTGAAAAAAGAAACATTCATTTTTACCTTTTCTTACCGTAAGAAGTGCTTCTACCACTGGGTCAGATTCTGATCTCAGTAAGGTCAGCATAGATCTGAAGTAATCTCATATATTTAATTCATATTAAAATAATGGTGATCAGGAATCTGACCTGAATGATACTATCAACACGTAGCAAAAATCCATCCTTGATTCAGTGGGCTACTTAAGTGTTCCCTAGGGATGCAGTTTAGCCACCCAGTTTCCAGACTACTTGGCAGACTTGAAGCATGTTCTTAAGCACCTCACTGAATCAAAGCCTGATTGTTCTGGTGTGGGTGATTGTGCTGGTTATTGAAGAATAACTAAAACAACATCCTCAGTCTGCAGTATAGACAGACTGGACATGAAAATTTATAGTAGTAGCTGATAGCATGTGAGCTGACTATATCATCTCCCTAGATCCTCATTCCTCCCCGAGGCCCAGCTGAAGCTCCCGGTGAAACCTGGCTTCAGGAATTGACTATGGGGATATACAGCCACCACTGTGGAGCTGAGGCTGTGCTCTGAGTGTCTCATCACTTCATCATAGATTTGTGGGGTAACTAGTGACACTGTTGCAAAGTAAAAGTGGCACCACTTCTCCAGCAGGGTGGCATTCTCTGGCATTCCAGTTCGCATGAACCAAGGAGCCTGTTTTGCCCCCCAAAGTGTATTTTTCCCTGAGGGGCTTTGGCAAGTTAAAAAAAAAAATAAACAAAAGAAAATAAAAAGCTGACAGCCTGTAGTAGCGGTCTGCATTTTTGTAAATTCTGCCAAACAGAATTTATATCAAAACTGCTATTTTACAATTTAAAAACTTTGTCTAAGGATTTTAAAGACAATTAATTAAGTATGGGTTGGGGGTGGGAGGGAAAGAAAAAAAAGCCCATTTACAATGGCTAGAATTGGGGCAAAGGCTTCATTACATGATTTTTCACTGTTTCTAGGATTTTCCTGCATCTCATTCTTTTAGCATGGTGATAACTGCTGTGTGTCTCCTTTAAAGAATGGAGCCTGTCTCTGTACTTCTACTGGAATGTTTACCTCACATTTCCATGTTGGTTCTTCTTGGCTTTTTTTTGTAATTTTTTCCAAAACAGAAGCGAAAAAAAAATGTTCAAAAAAGCAAACATGTAGCCTGGTCTCTGTCACTTGCCTGGGATACAAAGAAAATCTGGGATGTCTGTTTCTGTCTGGTCTTGCAGTGTTTCTTGCAGGTTGGTATCTTCTTCTGACTTTACAGATGTGTGCTTCAGGCTTAGGAATATAAGGATCAGACTTAGGGCCGTGCAGGCCTTCTGTGACTATGAGAAGCCGTTGATAAGTGTTCTGGGTTCCTCACTACAACTTTGATCAAAATTCCAGGGGGAAAAATCTGTTCTCAACTTCTCTGCTAGGAAATACCCTCCCAAGCAGGCTTTTTTTACACTTTTGTCTGGTCTTCTCTACTGGTCTAAAACCAACAAACTGCATGAGCAGGGCTTTTGCTTACTTATTTATTTATAATTTAATTCAATAGAAGTTAGGTACTTTTGAAAGCCCAAGGATTAAAAAGTGATTAATCCTCTAGAAGTCTTACCCCTTCCATGGCACAGGCATTCTGTGCTAGGCTATGATCTCATTTCAGATTTTTGTTAAGAAGTTTTGCATCTCAAATGTCTGATCCCTTTCCATTGTGCTACAGTCCGTGTGCTGACGGAAGCATGACATTTGCACCTCAAAAGGAACTAAGTGTACGAGATAAGGGAAATGGCAATTTGACTCATCTCAGACAGTAAAACCCAAGATGAGCTGCTGTCATGCTCCTTTCTTGCCTAATTTTCAGTCTTCAGTTTTTCCACTCTGTTCTGATCATTTTACGTGAGCTATCAAAGTTACATACTGGGAGAGACAGAGAAGCGGCAGATAAACATGAAGTTCAACTACCACTGAAAGTATTTTCTTAGATAATGAGTGTTAAGAAGAAACAAGGAGGTGCAAATATCTCTGGGTTTTGGTGGGAGGAAGACATAGTTTCATGAAAAAAATAATTTATTGCTGCCAAACAGCCTCTGAAGCAGCCAGGATGACACACATTTAGCCATTTGTCACAGTGTGGTTTCCCATAAGCTGCAGGGGAGGAATTTGGGAACCTTCAGCCTTCCACACTGACCAGTGAAACATCCCCAGCTCACTCACATTCACCCCACAATGGAACATGTAGCACTACACTTTTACTATTCTGTAGATCCCCAAAAGCCAAAAGGAGAAAAGAATGTTAAACTTCTTCAGAGCTGTGAGAAGAAAGGAGAACTTGAGAAGTTTGCTCGGTCAAGAAACTGAGCACTGTGACACACAAAAGCAGCAGTGTCTGAGTGTGCTTGGGGTGTCTGCTGAAAGAAACCGGGGGAGCAAGGGTTGAGGGCAGTGAGTGTTGTAACCAGGACATTTCTGGATCATTCCCAGAAAAAAAAAAATCACACATACAGACTCTAACCTCATTGGAAACAACCTGTTTCATCAAAATTCATGAAGTACCACAGATTTCTCAGACTGTTGTATTTATTTTTTTGTCTTCCTCACTTTTCTGCTTGCCTCCTCTGATTAACAGCAGACCTGCATCATCAGTTAGACAGGAAGAAAAACTAAACATACAGGTAACATATAAGAAAAACTAACAACTATTAGGAGGAGACACAAAAATTAAAAAATAGGGTTTTTAACAGACACTGAAGAATTCAACAAGGTGCTTTGATGGCAGGTGTTTTTATAGGGCTGTTGGAGAGTTCACTATTACTGAGTTAAGAGATCTCACAATTTTACCTGTCCCTATTTTCATGTAGCAATTTTGAGCAGCACAAGCAGTTTCACTTTAAGATGACACCTGTAATAGCTTTTACAAACCTTATTGCTAACAGGCTCTTATTTTTAATCTCAAGGACAAAAAAAAATAAGGATGGCTCACTTTCCCTCTCCTTCCCCAGGTTTGTCAGCCCTGCTGGTCATGGTGGCAGAGGTGGATGTGGTTCCTGACACAGCCCAAATGCATACACAAAAACCCCATCATACAGCTCAGAACTGAAGACAAGTTTAGGAGGTTGTACAGTTGAACCCCAGCCAGCCAAGCCCCAGTCAACCCTTTGCTCACTCCCCCACCAGTGGGATCAGGGAGAGAATTGGAAGGGTAAAAGCTGGGAACCTTGTGGGTTGAGATAAAGACACTTTAATAGGTAAAAGAAAAGCCACACACACAGGCAAAGCAAAATAAGGAATTAATTCCCTGCTTCCCATGGGCAGGCAGGTATTCAGCCATCTCCAGGAGAGCAGCGGTTACTTGGGAAGACAAACACCATCACTCCAAACTTCGCTCCCTTCCTCCTTTTTTCCCCCCACTTTATGCACTGAGCATGATGTCTTATGGTCTGGAATATCCCTTTGGCCATTTGGATCACCTGTCCTGGCTGTGTCTCCTCCCAACCTCCCATGAACCCCAGCCTCTTCCCCAGTGTGGAAAACAAAAAGGTATTATGTCTGTACAACCCCTGCTCAGCAATAACAAAAACATCTCTATATTATCAACCCTGTGTTCTGCATCAGCACGAATCCAAAACAGCCCCACACCAGCCACTGGGAAGAAAGTTACCTCTACCCCAGCCAAGACCAGGTGCAGGGCAGGAACTGTGGAGTTGGTCCCCCCTGTTTATCCCCATTGGAGCCAGAGATGCAAGGGAGCAGCTGGCAGTGCCCACACTCCTGGTCTGCAGGGAAAAAAGGGCAGAACAGACAACAGTGAAAAACCCGAGCACAACTCAGAGAACTTTTATTAGTGAAATTCACACGTTTCACTGCGAGGAGGTGGCTCTGCCGCTGCTCTGCAGGAAAGGTCCATGGTGGGACTCACTGCTTCCAGATGATCTTCAGGTTTGGCGGCAGCTCTGCGGCCGCGAGTTCATCGAACTTGGTCGCATCCTTCATGGGGGTGCGGTAAAAACCCAGCACGTCCCGGGCGCAGCGCATCAGGTGGAGCTGGGAGTTGGGCACAGCATGTCCCAGCTCCACCGCCAGCCGTGCCAGCAGCCGGAACTTCAGCCTGTTCTCCTGCAGGGGCGTCTGCTCCCAGTCTTGGGGGAGGGAGGACCCAAAAACCTCCCTTACGTGGGACTCAAGGCGGCCCTGGAGGTCCTGCGGGGGGAGGTAACTCCGGCTGCGCGGCGGGGGGCACAGCAGGCTGGGCTTGCTCCTCTCCTCCTTCTCAGAGATCCCCGCTTCCACTTCCACTTCTTTCTCCTCCTTCCTGTTGGCAACAAAAAAGAAGCATTTTCAACCTCTGGGCTGGCTCAGAGTGCTATTCTGTTCAAGGTGTTTTAAAGCAGGCTCAAGCCAGACAGTGTCCTTATCCACGAGGGACAAAACCAGACAGGGTTTGGCGGTTTTCCCCAAAGGCTGCTCACCACACAGGCTGCTCACCACACAGGCTCCCTCTGCAGAGCCACCACTCGCCCACCCACCTTATCTCACTGGGCTGTGTGGAAACACTTTAATCAGAGTAATTACTTGTCTTCCCAGTTACCACTGCGTTTTCTAATCTGATGTGAATAAAAAAAATATTAATTAAACAAAAGGGATAACAGAAAATAACCACTACTACAGAAAAAAAAAAAAAAATCAGTGCCCAGGTACCAAAAAAATTAAAAAAAAAAATTCATCACTAGTTTTAACTACAAAACTTGACTTGCTCATATGCCACACTCTAGTCAACAATCCACGCATGGTCTCACCTAAAACGCTGCACAGGAACTACCATTTTACATTCCCGTGAAATCCCTCCTTTCCCACCCCTAACAAGAAGCAGGTGACAGCACTAGACTCCAACCCTGCACCACCACCACCACGTCCGCCCGCCAGCAGTGCGCCTCGACGGGCGCTTAATTCCCATAGAACCTGCTGGATTTCCTTCCCTAAAAACATCCTGGAGCTCCCTGGACACAACCCCGAGGGACGCGCTCGGTGGGGGGGAGTGTAAGACCAAGGCCCCTCCAGCACCTCCACGGCCCGCGAGAGGTTCCGATGCCCCCCCCCTGGTGCCCTGCGGTACCTGCGGACACCCCAGAAGGCTCTGAGCCCCGCGGGGCCCAGCCCGGGCCGCCCCGGCCCCGCTGCCCTCAGCGCCCGCACCGCCGCCATGCTCCTTCTCGCCGCCGCCGCCGCAGTGACGACCTGCCGCCACGCCCCGCAAAGCCTCACGGGAAATGTAGTCCCATGGCCGCCCCCTCACCGCGGGGGTGTCTCGGAGGTCTCGGCTTCCACCGGAGAAAGCTCCGGGGAGACCTTTCTGCGGCCTCCCAGTGCTTCATGTGGGCTTGTAACAGAGAGGGAGAGGGGATTTTTACACAAGCAGATCGTGACAGAAAAAGTGGGGACGGCTTTAAATTAAAAGAGGGGAGATTAGGAAGGAATTCTTCCCTGTGAGAGTGGTGAGCCGCTGGCACAGGATGCCCATAGGAGCTGTGGATGCCCCACCACTGGAAGTGTCCACAGACAAGTTGGAGCAACCTGGTCTATTGGAAGGTGTCCCTGCCCACGGCAGAGGGGTTTTATCTGTATCTGGTTGGAAAAATAGAATCTTTAAGGTCATTTCCAGTGCAAACCGTTCCGTGGTTGATCCCGTGATGCACGGATCAAAGGATCAGCAGGATGCTGCTTGTGGGGAGCAGAGGTTTCATTGAGCTTGCGTGTGTGAAGGCACAACCACAGCCAAGCCAGGAAAGGGGTGTCATTCCTGATGCTGGTGTTGGCCTTTGGGGAGTTTTTTTGGCAAGTTTTTCGTCTTCATTCACCGTCAGGACAGTCTAAATCAAGCATTAATTACTCAGTGGTTGGATCCACGTGAAGGAGTTTGACTGTTTATTGCCCCTGTGACAGGTTACTGACATGGAGGACAGCAGGAAGTGTTTACAGGACAGTGATTTTTACATGTTTTCCCAGCTGTAGGCAGGAACAGGGAGTGCCTGTGGCCAGGAGGAGCAGCCAGCAGAGTGGGATGACCGTAGAGGGTCTGGAGCTCCTCTGGGAAGCCTGGCCCTGGATGTTTGGGGGGCTGCTCCAAGGCCTCACTGTTGATTGGGGTAGTGTGCATCCAGGAGAATGCTCTTCTATAACCCTGGTCTGCTGTTTTTGCCACTTATGCCCTTTTTTTTTGTCTTTTTTTTTTCATGGCAATCATCTAATTGTACTTTAGTTCACAAATCTTGTATCTTTAACAGGGACATAGCAACAGGCCTAGGGTCAAAGAGTGAGCCTGCAACATCAGCCTGATTATCCAAGCTACACCAACAGGGCAGGCCAAGATGCCTTCCTGCATGTTTGATGTTAATTATTGTGACAAATGCCACTGGAGAAACAGTCTTTTTACAGCCTTGACCCAACTTGTGCAACCCTGGTGCAACCTCATCCCACCAACCATGACTCTCCAGGGACACAAGAAGCTTCTGAAGGAAGAGTTGTTTGTCTGTGGCCTGAGTCCCTTGTATACCTCTCAAGTTTTTTTGTGCCTTTGTTCAGCAGGATTAACCTCTGCAGCTGTGTCACTATTATTCCCCTTTGATATCCTCTGGGTTTCCCAAACTCACCAGCTGTAACACTTTTTTTTTAATCTTTGCAAAGACACAATATGTGTGACAAACACTATAAAGTTTATTAAAAAAAAAGAGAATTGTGAGGTAGAGATTAGTTTTTCAATTACTGTTTTATTGCCATGATTGAATACAGAGTCAGGTTTTATAATTCAAGATTTTGGCTGCAAAATGTGGTAATAGGCAAGGGTGTGTGTTTGAATTGCCAGGGAACTACTTAATCTGCCTGTTATTCCAGGGATTGAGTGTCAGACTGGGGAGGAGAGTGGGTTCATGACTCATTGGCAGCTGTTGTTTGCTGTTCGGAAAGAATTCCCTTTCCTTGGTATGTGCAAACGAAACAAGAATATCCCCTTGGTAAATTGTGGGAGTGAAGGGCGGAGAGAAATCTTATCCATTTTATCTCCAGCTTGCTGTAGGGTAAAGGGAAATTAGATTTCTACGTTTTTCTTTCATTTCTGAACACCTTCCACCTTGTGAGAAGGGACCGGAGGAAGGAAGGCTCCTGCACTTTCAGTAGGTGTAGCCGGCAGTGAAAAGTGACTGCGTGGCAGCTGCGTCAGTCTTCCCAGACAGGACATACTGTCCCCTGCAAGCCAAACTGTTAATCTGAAAAAGAAAGCAAAAGGAGGGAGAAAACAGTCAGTGTGGCATAAGAACAGCAGGTATGCAAAGAGTAACCAGTGGGAGCAACCAAGTAAGAAATAATCAAGCAATTAACCAAGGCAGAAACAATAGAGTAACACCCCTGGTGAATGTGAAGCACCAGGAGGAGAGGGATCAAGAGTAGCCTTCGGAAGGTGACAGCAGGTCTCCCTTCATGGGGAGCAGCTCTTCCCGCTACCGGAGGGGGAGCCTTATACCTGCGCCCGCTTGCGGAAGGCCTCCTGTGCTGCCTTCTTGTTCTCGGCTTTGCCTAGCCACGCAGCCAGGGCAGAGGCCTGCAGGGCCCTCCCGTAGGAAAAGGTCAGTTTCCAAGGCTTAGGCAGAGGGGACTGGTTCATGGCGTTCAGATTGACAGAAGCCTCCTCTTCGCTCTGGCCTCCAGACAGGAAGCAGATCCCTGCAAGAAGGAGGTTTGGAGACTTAGAAATAGACTACTCCAACCATCTCAAGCCCTGAGCTTTGCATACCAGAGGTAGGAGCAGGGCCAGCAAGAGTGACAGTGCGAATGGAAACATAGGAATGAATCAGGAATCACCGGGAACAGCGGCAGGAACAGTACGGAGGAGGGTAGTGACAGTTGCCACGGCGATATCCTGAGGGGTGTACTTCTTGGAGCAGGAATGCCCAGCCATGACCATGTTGGGTTTCAGCAGAGTCCCTTCCAGGTACACGTGGTGATCATTCAGGGCCTTGTAGACGGCAGCCAGAACCTGGAAAACAGGGGGATTGAATACAGACCTCTGCTCAAACCTTTACCTCAGCCAGCTGCAGGACAGTTTATTCTTTGGGAATGTAACAAAATCAAATGGGATTCTGCTTTCTGATGTGTAATTTATCTCAGGGGTTGCAGTTGTGGAGATACCACTGCTTTTGAGATGACCAGGATACCACTCTTCATATTTACAAGATTTGTTCCTGCAAACTGAGGTACTGAAACTGCAGTACTTGATTTTGCTCCTGATCCATCTTTTTTGAGGTTGAGGATGCTTATATCATCAGTCCAGTGGAAGTCCAAAAGCATGGATTATACTCTTGCATGTGCTATTAACTCATTAGTTGTCTGTAAGCAGCTCATATTTGTGGTGCAGTTATGAAGTCCCTTTTTGGTCAAATCTCTTTCAGCTCTGTGAGCACAAACTGCACAAAGTTTATCTTTGTGAGGGGGAAGGAATCCCTTACCTTTTCTGTGACATACTGGCAGCGCTGGAGATCGTGGTCTCCATCAGGCAGGATTTCTGGCTCCACGATGGGCACCAAGCCATGCTAAGAAAAGGAAGACAGGGAAATCTTTAGGGCTATGGAAGAAAAACTGTTCTTGTTGTTTGGTGGTATTTCTTCCTCCCGTGCTGTCCTTCCCCAAACCTTCACAGAGATCCTCCTTTCTAGTGTGTCATCATAGAGAACAGTGAGAAGGGGCAGCAGCACCTCAGGTTGCTGGAGGGCAGGTACCTGCTGGCAGATGCTGGCATAGCGTGCCAAGGTGTTAGCATTCTCCTGGATGGCAAGCTGGGAGGGTGTTGTGCTGGTGATCTTGAGCACCGCACGCCACTTGCCAAAGTCAGCACCGTCCTTCTTGTACTGAGCACAGCGCTCAGCCAGCCCATCCAGCCCTGCAGGGGGGAACAGAGCTCCTCTGAGAGCTGTTCTTCAGCTCAGAGCTCTGACTAGTGCCTTGACACCAGCCAAAGCTGCGCCTCAGGGGAGTCACCCCATGGCTTTTGCTGCACAGGTTGTAGCTTAGGCTCCTTAGATCTCTCCTTACCTTGGATGGTGGTTTCTCCGTTTGTTCCTGCTAGAGGTGCTGTGCCTTTATCCAGCTGTGGAGATCAGAAAAAGAGGAAGGGTTACAGAGAAGTGGGAATAAGTCTCCTCCTTATCTTCTTACCCATGGCTAGTTTGCCTTTGCAGGCTGACCGTGAGTAAAGTGTGGGGCTGAACATCCTCAGGATGCAAAGGAGGGAAATGCTGGAGCAAAGGTAAAGAAAAGGAGTGAGCTGGATCAGAGGAAGGGGCAGCGTGTAGATGGCAGAAGACAATAGCTTGAAAGCTCTGTTAGATGCAGAAAGAACTGGATTTGGGTTACTGCATGGAGGAACTTATTTGTAGTGAATGGTGAGTAAATGGGAGCTGGTGTATGAAAAGTTCCTGTGTCTA